CCATGGCTTCGCACACGGCTCCTCTTTATCGTGTTGTAAACTTATTGTGTTTTGATTAATTTCAAATTGCTTGCTTTGCTTCAGTAGACTGTGAAATGCACTTTCCCTTTTGTACTTTTTCAATTTCTCTCATTGTGAGCGCGAGGGACTGCGGCGGCGGCGGCGGCGGCAGAGTGGGCGCAGCAGAATGAACACATGGATGTCGGCTGTAATTAAGAAAGTGAAGTATTAGGACGGGCAGAGCCTTCACCGGCGATAATTCATCAAACGTGCTCTTAATTAAATTGTTTACACAGATGTCTGCAAGCTGCGGTCCTCCCTGCGCCCACTTTCATTAACCCTCACCGGGGTTTATCCAAAAGTTACAGACGTTTACAGAAGGTTTGGGCGTGAGATGATTCAGCTGTGATTGCAGATCATGCAGACGTGTCATGTACTGTAGTTTTAACTTGTATTTTTAGTGTATTTTAACTTTAATTTTACTGTATTTTAACAGTATTTTAACCATATTTTAACTGTTTACTTAATTGTATTTTAACAGTATTTTAAATTGTATTTTTTAGAATATTTAAACTGTATTTTTTTATTATGTTTTGACTTGTTTATTTACGGTATTTCTGCTGTATTTTAACTTTATTTTTACTGTATTTTTTACTGTCTTTTAACTCATATTTTGATTGTTTGAACTTGTTTTTAACCCAATTATAACTTGTATTTTAACATAAATTTTTTGCGTATTTTGACTATATTTTAATGTATTTCAACTGTTTTTAACTTGTAATTTAACTTGTATTTTAACTTGTATTCCCTTTTTAAAAATGTACCTTCTTACTTTTTCTGTTTCCAAAATAAATATGAAATTGTCAAATGGCTTTAAGCTTTGTCTCCTCCAAACATGAACAATAAAACTGTGACACCCGCTTGAGCAAATCCAAACACAATCCTTCTTACTCAGTCCAGCATCGGTCTAAAGCTGTGATCATTATGAGTAAAAACATGTGTCAACCTGGCGCCCCTCCCGTCTGAACGCTGTCTGTGGCCTGAGGGGGCCGGTGATGTCGCATTACGCCTGTCAACATATAATTGATATCTGACACACACCAGCGCTAAGTACTGTCATTCTGCACTTTTATTTATGTGTTTATACTGTTCGTAACAAGCATTTCACCGCCGCTCTCAGAACTGAAGCAGCGCTGCCGTCAGAGGCGGGGAATACAGAAGGGGGAGGGTTTTGGGGAGAATAGCTTTGTTTTTATCGTCTGTGTGTGTTTTGTTAAGAGCCTCGTTAGCTTCTGCGGCTAACGCTGGTTAGCACGCAACAAACTGTCTTCTCCATCTTTTCACACATTTATAATTCATGAAATACACTTATTATAGACGCCACTGTTTACAGACTGATAGAGTGAGGAGGGAGTGGAGAGAGAGAGAGGGGAGAGGAGACGAGAGAGAGAAATGAGAAAGAGGAGAGAGGGGAGTGGAGAGGAGAGAGAGAGAGGAGAGAGAAAGGAGAGAGAGGGGAGTGGAGAGGAGAGAGAGAGAGGAGAGAGTGAAAGGAGAGAGAGGAGAGAGGGGAGTGGAGAGGAGAGAGAAAGAGGAGAGAGAGGAGAGAGGGGAGTGGAGAGGAGAGAGAAAGAGGAGAGAGAGAAAGGAGAGAGGGGAGTGGAGAGGAGAGAGAGAAAGGAGAGAGAGGAGAGAGGGGAGTGGAGAGGAGAGAGAGAGAGGAGAGAGAGAAAGGAGAGAGAGAAAGGAGAGAGAGGGGAGTGGAGAGGAGAGAGAAAGAGGAGAGAGGGGAGTGGAGAGGAGAGAGAGAGAGGAGAGAGAGAAAGGAGAGAGAGGGGAGTGGAGAGGAGAGAGAAAGAGGAGAGAGAGGAGAGAGGGGAGTGGAGAGAAGAGAGAAAGAGCAGAGAGAGAAAGGAGAGAGGGGAGTGGAGAGGAGAGAGGAGTGGGGAGAGGGACGTGAGGAGAGAGAGGGGATAGAAAAGAGAGAGGAGAGGGAGGAGAGGGTCTTAAAGCTGCATACACAATATTTTCAATCGTGGCACTTGGCTTCATCAATGAAAGAAAACAAGAAAACAAGTGGTCTAGTGTCTCTCTGGTCTCTCTCTGGTCTCTCTCTCTGGTCTCTCTCTAGTCTCTCTCTGGTCGCTCTCTGGTCTCTCTCTGGTCTCTCTCTGGTCTCTCTCTGGTCTCTCTCTGGTCGCTCTCTGGTCTCTCTCTGGTCTCTCTCTCTGGTCTCTCTCTGGTCTCTCTCTGGTCTCTCTCTGGTCTCTCACTGGTCTCTCTCTGGTCTCTCTCTCTGGTCTCTCTCTGGTCTCTCTCTCTCTGGTCTCTCTCTGGTCTCTCTCTGGTCTCTCTCTCTGGTCCCTCTCTGGTCTCTCTCTGGTCTCTCTCTGGTTTCTCTCTGGTCTCTCTCTGGTCTCTCTCTCTGGCCTCTCTCTGGTCACTCTCTCTGGTCTCTCTCTGGTTTCGCTCTGGTCTCTCTCTGGTCTCTCTCTCTGGCCACTCTCTGGTCCCTCTCTGGTCTCTCTCTGGTCTCTCTCTCTGGTCCCTCTCTGGTCTCTCTCTGGTCTCTCTCTGGTCTCTCTCTCTGGCCTCTCTCTGGTCACTCTCTGGTCTCTCTCTGGTCTCTCTCTCTGGTCTCTCTCTAGTCTCTCTCTGGTCGCTCTCTGGTCTCTCTCTAGTCTCTCTCTGGTCGCTCTCTGGTCTCTCTCTGGTCTCTCTCTGGTCTCTCTCTGGTCTCTCTCTGGTCGCTCTCTGGTCTCTCTCTGGTCTCTCTCTGGTCTCTCTCTCTGGTCTCTCTCTAGTCTCTCTCTGGTCGCTCTCTGGTCTCTCTCTGGTCTCTCTCTGGTCGCTCTCTGGTCTCTCTCTGGTCTCTCTCTGGTCTCTCTCTGGTCGCTCTCTGGTCTCTCTCTGGTCTCTCTCTCTGGTCTCTCTCTGGTCTCTCTCTGGTCTCTCTCTGGTCTCTCACTGGTCTCTCTCTGGTCTCTCTCTCTGGTCTCTCTCTGGTCTCTCTCTCTCTGGTCTCTCTCTGGTCTCTCTCTCTGGTCCCTCTCTGGTCTCTCTCTGGTCTCTCTCTGGTTTCTCTCTGGTCTCTCTCTGGTCTCTCTCTCTGGCCTCTCTCTGGTCACTCTCTCTGGTCTCTCTCTGGTTTCGCTCTGGTCTCTCTCTGGTCTCTCTCTCTGGCCACTCTCTGGTCCCTCTCTGGTCTCTCTCTGGTCTCTCTCTCTGGTCCCTCTCTGGTCTCTCTCTGGTCTCTCTCTGGTCTCTCTCTCTGGCCTCTCTCTGGTCACTCTCTCTGGTCTCTCTCTGGTCTCGCTCTGGTCTCTCTCTGGTCTCTCTCTCTGGCCTCTCTCTGGTCCCTCTCTGGTCTCTCTCTGGTCTCTCTCTCTGGCCTCTCTCTGGTCTCTCTCTCTGGTCCCTCTCTGGTCTCTCTCTGGTCTCTCTCTGGTTTCTCTCTGGTCTCTCTCTGGTCTCTCTCTCTGGCCTCTCTCTGGTCACTCTCTCTGGTCTCTCTCTAGTTTCGCTCTGGTCTCTCTCTGGTCTCTCTCTCTGGCCACTCTCTGGTCCCTCTCTGGTCTCTCTCTGGTCTCTCTCTCTGGTCCCTCTCTGGTCTCTCTCTGGTCTCTCTCTGGTCTCTCTCTCTGGCCTCTCTCTGGTCACTCTCTCTGGTCTCTCTCTGGTTCTCGCTCTGGTCTCTCTCTGGTCTCTCTCTCTGGCCTCTCTCTGGTCCCTCTCTGGTCTCTCTCTGGTCTCTCTCTCTGGCCTCTCTCTGGTCACTCTCTCTGGTCTCTCTCTGGTCTCTCTCTGGTCTCTCTCTTGGTCTAAATCTCCTAAACTAATTTTAATCAATGAAAAAAATCAAGTAGAGTAGACTAACCGGGCGCAAGGAAAAGTCAGAGCTCACCAACGTTTTTCTTTTTTGACGCAACAAAACAGACAAATCTCAACTCAGGCCTCGGTTCAGGTCCCAGCTCAGGTCCCGGTTCAGGTCCCAGTTCAGGTCCCGGTTCAGGTCCCAACTCAGGTCTTGGTTCAGGTCTCGGCTCCGGCCCTGGCTCAGGCCCCGGTTCTGGAATGCACCGTCTGTCCCCATCACTCTGCTTTATTGGTCCGGGACTCGTGAGGTCCGTCTGGCCTCATTCTCGCTGTTATCTGTGGCTTAAAGGCTCTGTCCCTGTGCTCTGCCCTTCCCCCGCTCACACAACACCAGCAAGAATACTAATAATAATGTTGGGGAGAAGAATACTGTCTCTCGTCTCTCTCTCTGGTATCTCTCTCTGGTATCTCTCTGGTCTCTCGCTCTGGTATCTCTCTGGTCTCTCTCTCTGGTATCTCTCTGGTCTCTCTCTGGTATCTCTCTGGTCTCTCGCTCTGGTATCTCTCTGGTCTCTCTCTCTGGTATCTCTCTGGTCTCTCGCTCTGGTATCTCTCTGGTCTCTCTCTCTGGTATCTCTCTGGTCTCTCTCTCTGGTATCTCTCTGGTCTCTCGCTCTGGTATCTCTCTGGTCTCTCTCTCTGGTATCTCTCTGGTCTCTCTCTCTGGTATCTCTCTGGTCTCTCTCTCTGGTCTCTCTCTGGTCTCTCTCTCTGGTCTCTCTCTGGTCTCCCTCTGGTCTCTCTCTCTGGTCTCTCTCTCTGGTGTCTCTCTCTGGTATCTCTCTCTGGTCTCCCTCTGGTCTCTCTCTCTGGTATATCTCTGGTCTCTCTCTGGTCTCCCTCTGGTCTCTCTCTGGTCTCTCTCTCTGGTCTCTCTCTGGTCTCCCTCTGGTCTCTCTCTGGTCTCTCTCTTTGGTGTCTCTCTCTGGTATCTCACTTGTCTCTCCCTGGTATCTCTCTGGTCTCTCTCTCTGGTATCTCTCTGGTCTCTCTCTCTGGTCTCTCTCTGGTATCTCTCTCTAATCTGATGGTATTATATATAAAACGTGGCACTTTTTCTCAGAAGACAAAATGTACTATTTACATGTAATAGAAACCAGTTACAGAATACTCAATGGTATCACATGTACTCCATTACTCTACAAAGACTGACGACCCCATGGACCAGCAGAACACCGAGAGGCCAGGACCAGCAGAACAGCAAGAGGCCAGGACCAGCAGAACACAGAGAGGCCAGGACCAGCAGAACTCCGAGAGGCCAGGACAAGCAGAACACCGAGAGTCCAGAACCAGCAGAATACAGAGAGGCCAGGACCAGCAGAACACCGAGAGCCCAGGACCAGCAGAACACCGAGAGTCCAGAACCAGCAGAATACAGAGAGGCCAGGACCAGCAGAACACAGAGAGGCCAGGACCAGCAGAACACCGAGAGGCCAGGACCAGCAGAACACCGAGAGGCCAGGACGGGCAGAACACAGAGAGGCCAGGACCAGCAGAACACAGAGAGGCCAGGACCAGCAGAACACCGAGAGGCCAGGACCAGCAGAACACAGAGAGGCCAGGACCAGCAGAACACCGAGAGGCCAGGACCAGCAGAACACAGAGAGGCCAGGACCAGCAGAACACAGAGAGGCCAGGACCAGCAGAACACCGAGAGGCCAGGACCAGCAGAACACCGAGAGCCCAGGACCAGCAGAACACAGAGAGGCCAGGACCAGCAGAACACCGAGAGGCCAGGACCAGCAGAACACCGAGAGCCCAGGACCAGCAGAACACAGAGAGCCCAGGACCAGCAGAACACAGAGAGACCAGGACCAGCAGAACACCGAGAGCCCAGGATTTGGACCTGTCTCTGATCGTGGTGGTCCAAGCCTCTCAGAATAGCAACTGTGTGTGTGTGTGTGTGTGTGTGTAAGGATGTCTGTGTGTGTGTGTGTGTGTGTGTGTGTGTGTGAGGATGTGTGTGTGTGCGTGTGTGTGTGTGTCTGTCTATCTGTGTGTGTGTGGGAGGATGTCTGTGTGTGTATCTGTGTATGTCTGTGTGTGTGTGAGGATGTTTGTGTGTGTATCTGTGTATGTCTGTGTGTGTATCTGTGTATGTCTGTGTATCTGTGTGTGTGTATGTCTGTGTGTGTGTGTGTGTGTGTGAGGATGTCTGTGTGTGTGTGTGTGTCTGTTTATCTGTGTGTGTGTGTGGGAGGATGTATGTGTGTGTGTTTGTGAATCTGTGTATCTGTCTGTGTGTGTATCTGTGTGTGTGTGTGTGTGTGTATCTGTGTTTGTATGTGTGTGAATCTGTGTCTGTGTGTGTGTGTGTGTATCTGTGTGTGTGTGTGTGTGAATCTGTGTCTGTGTGTGTGTGTATCTGTGTGTGTGTGTGTGAATCTGTGTCTGTGTGTGTGTGTCTGCTGCTGAGCCAATTAGAGCAGAGTAGAGTAGTGCGCTCCCGGACAGCAGGCTCAAAAATGAAACCGTCCAAATGAATTTATAAAACCGTTTTATTGAAATAAGATTAAGCCTCGAGTCCCACTTTTATGACGAGGGACTTTGGCTTTTACTCATTTCAGAAAAAGGGATGAACAGCAATCAGGGAAAAACCATGGCTCAAATGCAAGAGACCTTTTTTAGAATAATAAATGACAATGGTACAACAAGGAATCTCAAAATAAAGTTCTATAAAAGTCTACGATTTAGTCAAAATAACAAGTTCTTCTGCCCAGTTCTTACACTGCAGCGACTCAAAGTGCTGACCCAAACAAGGCGTCATATGGCTGCCATTTTTAGTTCTGGTTTTATTTTGTAATTGTTGGTTCTCCGGTGTCTTTTTGAGTTTTACTTCCCGTTCTGAGGATGGCCTGCCCCACCCTGATGTGTTGTACCTGTGCTCCACCCTGATGTGTTGTACCTGTGCTCCACCCTGATGTGTTGTACCTGTGCCCCGCCCTGATGTGTTGTACCTGTGCCTCGCCCTGATGTGTTGTACCTGTGCCTCGCCCTGATGTGTTGTACCTGTGCCCCGCCCTGATGTGTTGTACCTGTGCCCCGCCCTGATGTGTTGTACCTGTGCCCCGCCCTGATGTGTTGTACCTGTGCCCCGCCCTGATGTGTTGTACCTGTGCCTCGCCCTGATGTGTTGTACCTGTGCCTCGCCCTGATGTGTTGTACCTGTGCTCCACCCTGATGTGTTGTACCTGTGCCCCGCCCTGATGTGTTGTACCTGTGCTCCACCCTGATGTGTTGTACCTGTGCCTCGCCCTGATGTGTTGTACCTGTGCCTCGCCCTGATGTGTTGTACCTGTGCCCCGCCCTGATGTGTTGTACCTGTGCCTCGCCCTGATGTGTTGTACCTGTGCTCCACCCTGATGTGTTGTACCTGTGCCCCGCCCTGATGTGTTGTACCTGTGCTCCACCCTGATGTGTTGTACCTGTGCCTCGCCCTGATGTGTTGTACCTGTGCCTCGCCCTGATGTGTTGTACCTGTGCCCCGCCCTGATGTGTTGTACCTGTGCCTCGCCCTGATGTGTTGTACCTGTGCCTCGCCCTGATGTGTTGTACCTGTGCTCCACCCTGATGTGTTGTACCTGTGCCTCGCCCTGATGTGTTGTACCTGTGCCTCGCCCTGATGTGTTGTACCTGTGCCTCGCCCTGATGTGTTGTACCTGTGCCTCGCCCTGATGTGTTGTACCTGTGCCTCGCCCTGATGTGTTGTACCTGTGCTCCACCCTGATGTGTTGTACCTGTGCCCCGCCCTGATGTGTTGTACCTGTGCTCCACCCTGATGTGTTGTACCTGTGTCTCCAAGTTTAAATCCCTGTGTTCTTAGAATCAGTTGAGATTCTTGTTTATTAAATTATATTATTTTTGCAGTATTGAATTGTGGGTCCTTCCTCCTTTTCAGCACGTAACAAAAGATAGAGACATTACAATTTGAGCCCTGCACCGATGACCGTATAATGACCTCTGACACGAGTCGGGCTCTGGTACTTTTATTTATTCATTTTCAGAGCAGTAGATTCCATTTACGAACGCACTGAATATAGCGTTCTGTCACGCTGTTGTGTTGTTCTGTTTAGTGTTGTCATGACGACACAAAGCGTTACTGAGTGGGATGTAGTTTTTTGGGGCATCTGTGTATCATACAGCTGTGTATCATACAGCTGTTTATCATACATCTGTGTATCATACATCTGTATATCATACAGCTGTGTATCATACATCTGTGTATCATACAGCATCAGTGGATCATGCATCTGTGTATCATACAGCAGATGTGTATCATACAGCTGTGTATCATACATCTGTGTATCATACAGCTGTTTATCATACAGCTGTTTATCATACAGCTGTGTATCATACATCTGTGTATCATACAGCTGTTTATCATACAGCTGTTTATCATACAGCTGTGTATCATACATCTGTGTATCATACAGCTGTGTATCATACAGCTGTGTATCATACATTTGTATATCATGCAGCTGTGTATCATACATCTGTGTATCATACAGCGGTGTATCATACATCTGTGTATCATACAGCATCAGTGGATCATGCAGCTGTGTATCATACAGCTGTGTATCATACATCTGTGTATCATACAGCTGTGTATCATACATCTGTGTATCATACAGCTGTGTATCATACATCTGTGTATCATACAGCATCAGTGGATCATGCAGCTGTGTATCATACAGCAGATGTGTATCATACAGCTGTGTATCATACAACAGATGTGTATTATACAGCTGTGGTATATACAGCTGTGTATCATACAGCTGTGTATCATACAACCGATGTGTATTATACAGCTGTGGATTATACAGCTGTGTATCATACAGCTGCGGCCGCTCACTCGTACACACAGAACTCAACACGTCACTTCCATGGTATAACTTGATGAAATGGTACAAAAGCAAAGCACTGCTAACAAAATATATAAGTGAAAGATTACGGCTAGTTTCTACTCAGCACTTTTTTACTGACTTCATGCACAGCTGAATCAATGAGCTCAAGTTAAAATAATTAAATTATAGGTTATAATAAAACTTAATAATATAATATATAATAAAACTTAATAATATAATATATAATAAAACTTAATAATATAATATATAATAAAACGTAATAATATAATATATAATAAAACTTGTCTGTAGTAATAAGCATTTTTCTGAACTCAGTAGAAAAAACACTGGGTATAGCATTTTAAGTTCAAGGACATAAGACATAGATTTGTGTTGGAGTCATGTTTACCAATAAGTCTAATACAAACGGGACCGGATCTTGTGTTTTCAGATGCAAGCGGCGTTGAGTGCCGTCACATCCCATTCTCCGCCGTGTTTTGGAGCTTGTCTTGAGTCTCTGCTTTGAACTTCCACCAATCCATTTAGCCAACGGCAGCTGTCTGACGCATCAACACAAATCCTGTCAGCGCTGTCGTTAGCATATGTATAGAAATAATGTTTTCCTCCTCCTTAGCTCGTCATCTGCCTCCGAGTTTGTCACAACAAATTCTCTGAAATTGCTTTCTTTAGTCGGAACATTATCTACGTTTAGTGCGATGTTGAAAATAATAATATGAGTAGCACAACTTTTCACTTTCAATCAAATGTACGTCTAAACGCAGACGCGTTCACAGAGGCTTTGAAAAACCATCTTCTTCTTTGGAACTGTCTGGGTACGATGTGCTCAGCGCTGATGAAAAGAACAGAAATGTAATCGGTCAATAATAGCCTGGTCTTACCACACCATCGTACTCATTTCATTTTGTACTAAGATGTGGATTTAAAGAAAACTGAAGAATATAAGAAGAAAAAAAGTTTAGGAACACAAGGGACACTAAAATCCCCACAAAATCCGATCTGTATGTGTCAGGTTCTCTGTCAGGTTCTCGGTCGGGTTCTCGGTTGCGTTCTCTGTCGGGTTCTCGGTCGGGTTCTCGGTCGGGTTCTCGGTCGGGTTCTCGGTCGGGTTCTCGGTTGGGTTCTCTGTCGGGTTCTTGGTCGGGTTCTCTGTCAGGTTCTCTGTCAGGTTCTCTGTTGGGTTCTTTGTCGGGTTCTCTGTCGGGTTCTCTGTCGGGTTCTCTGTCGGGTTCTCCGTCAGGTTCTCTGTCGGGTTCTCTGTCAGGTTCTCTGTCAGGTTCTCTGTCAGGTTCTCTGTCAGGTGAGATCGAGCTGGTTTAGTTTACATTGAGTTCTATGGGACTTTTTCCTGGGTAGCCGACGTGAATTTAGTCTGCAGTACCACAGCGCCCCCTGTGGCCATGGGTGGGACAGCTATTCGGTTGAAGACCCAGACGTACATGTAGGAAATGATCATGGACCAGAGTTTACAGATTTCGGCTGTTCTGGACTTTAAAATGATACATCCATATTCATTTACATTTAACATTTACATTAAGTTTATTAGTGTTAGCGGCAGAGGGCACATAAAAAGACAGAGAGGGCTGCATTTGGCCCACAGGACTTAGTTTGGTCATGCCTGGTCTAGGATTTGACACCCGTGATAAAAATGAAAAGTATCATTTATTCATTCGCGACGAGAAATGGACAAACATTAGCTGTTTCTTTCTCCATCATTTAACATTTGGTGATTTGTGGACCTCTGGTTCCGGACTCTTCCTGACCTCGCATAACGAACCAAGCCCCAAGTAATTAGCTGTCATCTCTTCCGGATCAAGTGACCCGGAGGAAACTGCCGGGATAACGACGCAAGCCTCACACATTACTACTAATTAAACTTCCGTAGACGTCATTTTCCCCGGCGACGAATGGCTCGGCCGCAATGACGTCCCGGGACTGAAGGTGAAGGTACGAAGACGGAGAAGCCCGGATGCTTTTGGAATTCAGAGCCTTGGCGAAATTAAAATCCCCGTGATTAACTAGCGGGCGTCTGCATATGCCATAAATCCTCCACCTATCTCCGATAAATGAAATGGCTGTTTTGTTGGTTCACTTATCATCCGCCGGAGTGAATTGCGGAGGCAACATTAGCATGAAGGCCAAGTGACATATTGCTCATTTATAAAAGACACACATGATTGCTCTGGCCTAAACCTGCACCTGGATGGCAGCTCGGCAGAATGAGAAGCGTCTCGGGCTCACGGCTGGAATGTCACAAATATATCCGAGTAAAGGCTGCTGTCGACAGAACCGCGCAGACAACAAACACACCTGAACCTGGAGAGATGTGTTACATGTAAAACAAAACCAAAAGAATAGATAGATAGATACTTTATTGATCCCTGTATGAGAATGTCAGGTGTCCAGAAGCAGCAAAAACACATCCATCCACACAAACTAAACAAATAATTACATCATTCTAGATGTAGCTAACAATAGACAATTCCAAATAGACACCATCCTGCCCTCTCTAGACTCTGAGAACTGCCTCAGTCCTGCAGCTATAGTCCGAGTGGTTCCTCGCTGATTCAGGGTCTAAGGACGGAGGGGATGATCCAGGACTCTCCACATTTAACGATATTTATGGACTTCTATAAACATTCATGGACAGAGCCATTGGTCCATAATCGGCAGATGACCGATTTGTTTTTTATTATTGATCTACAACTGGTCTCTCTCTGGTCTCTCTTTGGTTCCTCTCTCTGGTCTCTCTCTGGTCTCTCTCCGATCTCTCTCTGGTCTCTCTCTGGTCTCTCTCCGATCTCTCTCTGGTATCTGTCTGGTCTCTGTCTGGTCGATCTCTGATCCCTCTCTCTGGCCTCTCTCTGGTCTCTCTCTGGTCTCTCTCTGGCCTCTCTCTGGTCTCTCTCTGGTCTCTCTCTGGTCTCTCTCTGGTCTCTCCCCGATCTCTCTCTGATCCCTCTCTCTGATCTCTCTCTGATCTCTCTCTGGTTTCTCTCTGTTCTCTCTCTGGTCTCTCTCTGGTCTCTCTCTGGTCTCTCTCCAGAGTATATTATAATACTGTATTGCGTGGGACGACATCCTTTCATTTCTCTAAAGCAGCTCATATCGACTCATTACAAAAATACATTTGCCTTTGAATGGTATAATGTTGATGGTTAAGAGCCTACTTTCAAAATATTCTAATTTCCTGAGATGTTCTGTGTGGGGTTTACAAGCTGTGATTCAAAATCATCAACACCATAACACATGAAGGCCTTGTATACGTCTAACTTTGCCTGCGGTGAGTCTAATATGCTCAGTCTCACGTAAACTGAAGTGCAGAAGTAAAAGGACTTTTGAACGATTTTCTAATTTCACAAAGATTTCTCTCTGGTCTATCTGCAGGAGTAAACTTTAGTCTGGTCCAAAGAGATGAAGTGGGAGAAGTTTGGGAACATAAAGTACATCTTTAAATTAAGATGAAGCTAGTAAAAAAATCTCTAGCTTTAGCATAATAAAGAAGCTAGTATAAAATCTCTAGCTTTAGCATAATAAAGACGCTAGTATAAACAGTAATAGTAATAACAACATTTCTGAGTGTTTTTCCATTATTGCACCAACCTTTTTAAAGTTGTTAGGACATTGAAGTATGTTAATGCCGCACTGCAGGGGGTCCGGGTAACAGTGATTGCCAGACTTTCACCTGTTTGAGGGTGACGCTATTTTCAGTCCTGGCCTCACACAAGGCTGTTCCCGCCGCTGAGCCCTTTGTCCATTAGAGACACACTGCATTTTTGTCCTAATGCGACTGGACCCCCACTAATGACAGCAAACAGCCCCGTCGGCTACACCACAGCAGCTGAGAACAATGCTTAATGTTGACATCACTTGCTATAAGGATCTATTTCTGGTTTCTTCCTTTTATAGTGAGCGGCTGGACATGGCTGTTGGGGCTCCCGAGATAAAGCGCATATAAAAGCTTGGTACGAAGAGAGTTTGGAGCCACGTGAATCGCTTCCGATCCCCGTCTCTCTCTGTCTCTTGTTTCTTCTCCGACTACTAACCCTCAGACTAGCCCTCTCCAATCCCTTAACAACATGGCGCCAAAGAAAGTCGAACCAAAAAAGCCGGAGCCGAAGAAACCAGAGGCGAAGAAGGAAGCCACACCACCAGCCAAGCCCGCCCCTCCTCCCGAGCCAGAGCCGGTAGCCCCCAAAGAACCGGACTTCGACCCGAAAAGCATCACCATAGAGTACTCCTCGGACCAGATCGAGGAGTTCAAAGAGGCGTTTACGTTGTTCGATCGCACGCCGACCGGGGAGATGAAGATCACCTACGCGCAGTGCGGGGACGTGATGCGGGCGCTGGGACAGAACCCGACCAACGCCGACGTCTTGAAGGTGTTGGGGAAGCCGCAGCCGGAGGACATGAGCACAAAAATGGTAGACTTTGAGACCTTCCTGCCCATGCTGCAGCACATCTCCCGAGCGAAAGACCAGGGGAACTTCGAGGACTTCGTGGAGGGCCTTAGAGTGTTTGACAAGGAGGGCAACGGGAGCATCATGGGGGCCGAGCTGAGGCACGTCCTGGCCACGCTGGGGGAGAGGATGACGGAGGACGAGGTGGACAGGCTGATGGCGGGGCAGGAGGACGCCAACGGCTGCATTAACTACGCCTCTTTTGTTAAACACATTCTCTCCGGTTAGAACGACACAGATGCATTGGACTTGAAAACACGCGTAAAATATGGGATTGGAATGGGAAATCTGGACTGGACAGATACGGTATAGCTCAGCACTGACAAGACAAAATAAAACAATAAACTTGGGAAAATATTGTGTCATTAGTGTGTTTTTAGTTTTGTGGGAAAAATGATAAAAACGCTGGATTGTTGACGCATTTCAGGCGAGGAATTGTTGCTTTTCTGTGGATTTCTTATGGCTTGCAGTGCCAAACGTGTAAATATATAAAAAAAACTGTAAAAAGTCTGTATTCCAATCATGGCAAGGGAAATATTCAAATCTATTCATTTCTGCAGCTCGTTTTAGCTTCAATTGTGTGATGACTGCAAATATTATAATCAGATTTAAGACAGAGGCTTTAGAAACGTATGTGAGTGCACTGCAAAAAGTGATGATAAAAATTGCTTAATGCCTTAATCTGAGAACTTTCTGACTGTGCCTTAAAACAAGATTCTCGAACGGGACAAAGCAAAATGATCTAATTTTAAAAGGATACGGGAGATTTAAACCTTAGAATGAGAAAGTAAAGCAGCAGTTCTTGAAATAAGACTAAATTGTTTGTCCCATTGGTTTGTGCAACGATTTAGACAAAAAACATAACTCATATCAAGCAATTATTACCTTTTTTTTCATAATTTTGTGAGCTTGCCTCTCCACGGATCAGACCTGCGTGCGACTTGTCCTGGTGGTGTCCTTTCGGTATTGTAGTTCAATGCAGCAGTTGTGGCAAACCAAATCTATAGTCTAGTTTAGTGTTGCATACATAAAGGGTATAAGGCAAAGACAGGTTAGCTTGTTGTCTGAAATGCAGGAATATATGTGAAAAACGCTTGACCGAGAAAGAGTTTGTGTATCTTTAAATCATCAGATGAACTTGTATTGTTGTGAGCGAACACACGGCTCTAAAATTAGAAGACATTTGCCTGCATTCTCTCACACAAAAGGAGAGTGCGACAGTGGGAGCGCTTGTTATTGTGATCAGGAGCAGCTGCCGTCTGTAGAACGACCTCCTCATCAGGGATCAGCAGGAGACAGGTGCAGGGGGCGCTTCCTGTTCACGGCTTTGCACTACTTTTACTCTGGACTTTTACAGCCGTCCTCAACAACACTCACACAGTGTTAATAATAAAAAATGGACACTTAAAGACACTTCACATGTCACTGTAGCCACATCTGCCCTGGGGCACACTGACAGAGGCGAGGAAACCAGTCTGTGCCATCAGCCCCTCCCACCACCACCAACCATTCACACACACACCAGAGTCATTCTAATGTGGGGGAAGTGTCTTGCCTAAGGACACAACACAGTTTGGCACTTTACAGCCACAGTCGCCCTACTGTGGCACCTGGTGTTCCCAGAGGTCTCCCATCAGGGCACTAACCAGGCCCTGTCATGCTTAGCTTCAGAGGTCTGACAGGATCTGGCTTTCACAAGAAGCTATGGCCACGTCAAAAGTACAGTAAATCTTGCGTTTCATACATGGATACATAATAATAACTGGATAATGTGTTACTAGCTTAGAGCTGAAGCACCCGCGGACACAGGGTCCGCTCTGATTGGCCTCCCTCCCTCTCTGGTCTCTTTCTGGTCTCTCTCTACTCTCTCTCTGGTCTCTCTCTACTCTCTCTGGTCTCTCTCTCTGGTCTCTCTCTGGTCTCTCTCTGGTCTCTCTCTGGTCTCTCTCTGGCCTCTCTCTGGTCTCTCTCTGGCCTCTCTCTGGCCTCTCTCTTGTCTCTCTCTGGTCTCTCTCTGGTCTCTCTCTGGCCTCTCTCTGGCCTCTCTCTTGTCTCTCTCTGGTCTCTCTCTGGTCTCTCTCTGGTCTCCCTCTTGTCTCTCTCTTGTCTCTCTCATGTCTCTCTCTCTCTCTGGTCTCTCTCTACTGTCTCTGGTCTCTCTCAGTCTCTCTCTGGTCTCTCTCTGTTCTCCCTCTTGTCTCTCTCTGTTCTCCCTCTTGTCTCTCCCTGGTCTCTCTCTGGTCTTTTTATATTCTAGTTACCAAGTCAGCAAGGGGGAAACTTCCACAGCTGCATTCTCCTTTGTTTATTTTAAAGCCTTCTTTTAAAATGCCAGGCTTACAAATGGCTCTCTGCATGGGCCGAGCAGAGAGTGGTCCAGGTGGCACCATAAACCTCCGAACACACACCATCAACACTCTCTCATCCATCAGAGCTCGGTCTGTTCTCTCATTTACATCGGCCATTTGTGACGCCTTGATATTTTGCCACAGGAAATAAAGTGTGACTTTAGTGCCTGTCCTTAATCTTCTGAAGTGCTTTTGTCATAGTTGTTCTGGTCTCTCTCTGTTCTCTCTTTGTGGTCTCTGTCTGGTACTTCTCTCTCTATGGTTTCTTTCTTGTCTCACTCTGGTCTCTCTCTGTTCTATCTCTCGTCTCACTCTGGTCTCTCTCTGTTCTATCTCTGGTCTCTCTCTGGTCTCTCTCTGTTCTATCTCTGGTCTCTCTCTGGTCTCTCTCTGGTCCCTCTTTGGTCTCTCTCTGGTCTCTCTCTGTTCTATCTCTGGTCTCTCTCTGGTCCCTCTTTGGTCTCTCTCTGGTCTCTATCTGGTCTCTCTCCGGTCTCTCTCTCTGGTCTCCCTCTAGTCTCTCTCTGGTCTCGCTCTGGTCTCTCTCTGGCCTCTCTGGTCTTTCTCTGGTCTCTCTCTGGTCTCTCTCTGGTCTCTTTCTCTGGTTTTTCTCTGGCCTCTCTCTGGTCTCTCTCTGGTCTCTCTCTTGCCTCTCTCTGGTCTCTCTCTGGTCTCTCTCTGGTCTCTCTCTGGTCTCTCTCTTGCCTCTCTCTGGCCTCTCTCTGGTCTCTCTCTCACTAGTCTCTCTCTTGCCTCTCTCTGGTCTCTCTCTGGTCTCTCTCTGGTCTCTCTCTTGCCTCTCTCTGGTCTCTCTCTGGTCTCTCTCTGTGCCTTTTGTTCCTATCCTTAATTCTCTGAAGTGCTTTTGTCGTAGTCTGTTTGTTTTCCCCAGAAATCCAATGGCTTTTCAAACAGCCATTTACTTTCCGAGTGTCTAGTGGCAAAATATTGCTCAACCGTAAACAATTTGGAACGCCCCTTAAGTTGTAGAGGTTATAAGTTGTGACAAGCAGAATCCCCCTGTATCTTTAACGAATAAAACTGTCAAAAAGAAAGAAGTCTCTGAGAAAGTCGCTCCCGTCTCCGAAGACAGATAAATGACAATTACAATGCACAACACACTGAGCTTATTAGTGCTAATGGCGTTAGCGTCAGTGTCCCGTTAGCTAATGACCAGTAATCACATGGATGTACTACTTATCAGGAATTATAGCAAAGATGTGGGAGCCGCCGCTGCTCTGGGTCGTTATGGTCCCTGTTCCAACCACATTTTACCTCCGAAGAACTAATCAATCAATCAATCAAAGTTTATTTGTAGAGCGCCTTTCATACACAGGGCAACACAAAGCGCTTCACAGTCCACATCACAAATCATCACATAAAACAAACACCAGAATCACAATTAAAACATTAAAATCACACAAAAGATTAAAACACAATTAAAACATTAAAATCACACAAAAGAATAAAACCATTAAAACTTTCAAAATTACACAAGAAATTTAAAAAAATAAATAAATGACAGCAGTGCATTAAAAATGGAGATAAAATCCTTCAGTTGTATGCACAGGCAAACAGAACAGTCTTTAACCTGGATTTGAACATTGACAGAGTAGACGCCTCCCTCACATTTTCAGGGAGATTGTTCCAGATCTTAGCTGCATGGATCTGAAACGCAGCCTCCCCATGTTTGGTTCTCACTCTGGGCACCAGCAGGAGGCCAGTCCCTGTGCTCCTCAGAGTCCGGGCCGGTTCATATGACACCAACATGTCACTAATGTATTCTGGTGCAAGGCCATGGAGAGACTTGTACACAAGCAGAGCCGTTTTAAAATCTATTCTTTGAGCCACAGGAAGCCAGTGCAGAGACCTGAGGACCGGACTAATATGGTCATACTTCCTGGTTCCTGTCAGGACTCTAGCTGCTGCATTTTGGATGTACTGCAGCTGCTTACAGGTCTGTTTGGACAGACCTGTAAGCAGGCCATTGCAGTAGTCTAGCCTGCTGGAGACAAATGCATGGACAAGAATCTCCAAGTCTGCCCTGGACACTATATTTCTAACTTTGGCAATGTTCTTCAGATGGTAAAAAGCTGTTGATGTTATTGATTTTATGTGGCTATTGAAATTTAGGTCTGAGTCCAGTATTACCCCCAAATTTCTGACCTTGTCTGAAGGAAGTAGGGAGAGAGACTGAAGTTGACAAATGACGCCCTCTCTTTGTTTCTGGGGACCAAAGACAATGATTTCGGTTTTGTCTGTATTTAGCTGGAGGAAATTATTTTGCATCCAGTCACTGATCTGTTGGATACAGTGAAGGAGCAAATCCAGTGGTCCATGTTCTCCTGCAGTCAGTGAGACATAGATCTGAGTGTCGTCAGCGTAATTGTGGTAGGACACTTTGTTTCTTTGTATTAACTGACCTAACGGCAGCATGTAGAGATTAAATAGGAGAGGTCCCAGGATCGACCCCTGTGGTACACCACAGGTCAGGGCCACATCATCTGAGACGCAGTCTCCAATCTCCACAGAGTACTTCCTATCCTCCAGGTAAGACCTAAACCAGTCTAGGGCTGTGCCAGTGACACCAGCCCAGTCCTCCAGTCTCTGCATGAGGATCTCATGGTCGACAGTGTCGAACGCGGCACTAAGATCTAACATGACCAAAACTGTGACTTTACCTGCATCAGTGTGAAGTCGAATGTCGTTTGTTACCTTCACTAGAGCGGTCTCAGTGCTGTGGTGGGGTCTAAACCCAGACTGGAACATATCAAAAGAATTATTCATTGTTAAAAATTCAGTAAGTTGTTGGGAGGCCACTTTTTCAAGAATTTTTCCAATAAATGGCAGATTCGATATGGGGCGATAATTTTGAAGTCC